TTATGGACCAGGTACTAAAAGGATTACACTGGAAGACCTGTTTGGTATACCTCGACGATATCATCGTGTTGGGTAAAAGCTTCGATGAACACCTTAAGAACTTGGAAGAGGTTTTCCAACGAATAGCTAGCGTTGGTCTGAAGCTGAGTCCAAAGAAGTGTTCCCTTTTCAAAAAGGAAGTAAGCTACTTAGGACACAAAGTGACAACGGAGGGCATTTGCACAGCTAATGAAAAGATCGAGGCAGTAAGAGATTGGCCCGCTCCTAAAAATTTACATGAATTGCGGAGTTTCCTTGGACTATGTACTTATTATAGACGATTCGTTCCAAATTTTGCCAGCGTAGCTAGTAGCCTCCATGAACTCACGAAAAAGAACAGAGTTTTTGAATAGAATAAAGAACAGGAAGTGGCTTTCCCAACTCTGAAGAAACGGTTAAGTACTGCGCCAATGTTAGCATACCCGGTCCCAGGATCAACGTTTATTTTGGATACGGACGCTAGTGGATTTGCAGTAGGAGGCGTTCTATCAGAAGTCATTGATGGGCATGAGAAAGTGGTTGCGTATTACAGCCAGACCATAAGCAAGCCAGAAATAAATTATTGTGTTACTCGGAGGGAATTACTGGCGTTGGTGAAGTGCATCAAACATTTTCATAAGTACCTTTATGGCCAGCGATTTCGGGTGAGGACAGATCATGCAGCATTACAATGGCTTCTACAATTCAGGAACCCTGAAGGACAGTTGGCACGGTGGATTGAGAGACTTCAAAGTTACGACTTCTCTATAGAACATCGCAAAGGTAGTAGTCATGGAAATGCTGATGCCATGTCCCGCCATCCCTGTAATCTGGAATGCAGACATTGCTCAAAAGCTGAGGCCAAAGAAGACATTATAGATGTCCGATTAATGACTACAACATCAGATTGGGATCCAGAGAAGCTACGGAAATGTGGTATCGCTAATTGTGTCGAGTGCATTGCTGCTAAAGGGCCGCGGTCCAGGAGTCATGGTCAGATGAAGCAGTACAATTCAGGTGCGCCGTTTGAGCGAGTAGCCATGGATGTAGCTGGTCCATTTCCTATCAGTAAATTAGGAAACAGATATGTTTTGGTAGTCATGGACTATTTCAGCAAATGGCCAGAGGTATACGCAATTCCTAACCAAGAGGCAGGAACAGTAGCGGATGTATTCATCAACAATTGGGTATCGAGATATGGTGTTCCAATAGAATTACATTCTGACCAAGGAAGAAATTTTGAATCAGCTCTAATACAGGAGATATGCCAGAAGCTGGGTATCCGGAAAACCCGTACAACTGCACTACATCCGCAGTCCGATGGCATGGTAGAACGATTCAATCGAACTTTGGAAGAACATTTGAGGAAAGTTGTAGACAAATATCAGAAAGATTGGGATTCAAAAGCATCCTAGAAGACGAGATGAGGGATATACATGCTATGGTGAGACAGCGCACCAAAATTATGAGCGATAAGATGAAAGCAAAATACGACAAGGCAATAAACTCTGAGGGTTTTATTGAAGGCGATTGGGTATTGTTATATAACCCACAACGAAAGAAAGGGCTGTCTCCCAAATTACAGTGTAATTGGGAAGGACCATACCAGGTTATTAAACGACTCAATGATGTAGTGTATCGCATAGAGACCATTGGAAGACCAAGGAATAAAATGAAGGTGGTTAGATTAGATTAGATTAATTTTGAGGTATGCACCGCGACCTATGGTCTATTGTGCCCTGCCCTAAGTCATATCGTATCATTTAGGCCCAGCATGTTGATAAATTCCAAAATTCTGCTGGGTGCTAGTGAGGCGATACAATCCCTGTGTGGAAACATGGATCCCAGGGCCTTGATTCTGCGGGGTTTCCGGCTCTATGTCGCAGAACCGGCAGTTTGCAGAAGAGGCTATACCCATGTTGAAGAGGTGCTTCTTGAGCCTGCAGTTGCCGGTGTAGAACGCGACAAGTAGCCGGAATTTGTTCCTTGGGAGATTAATTATGGCTTTGAACCGTTTGAGGTCGTAACCCCCCATTAGCAGGTTGGCATGGTGCATGCCCTGGAGTTGTTGCCAATGTATCTCCCTGCCTGCTCTTTCCTTCCTACGGAGAAGCTCTTTGATGGTATGTGGACCAACCGCTATGAAAAGTTCCGGTCCTACCATTTTTGTAGAGGCCGCAGAGCGGGCCAACTCGTCAGCTAGTTCGTTCCCAGCTATACCCCTATGGCCAGGCACCCAAATAAAGTGCACTCGGTTGTGCTCTGATAGGCTGTTCAGCCGTTCTATACACTCCAGCACTAGAAGAGATCTGACCTGATAGGCAGAGATTGCTCGTAGTGCCGCCTGACTATCGCTGAGTATGGCAATACTTTTATTGCGATAGTTGCGTTGGAGGTTTATCCCCACACACCGACTTATAGCATAGACCTCGGCTTGGAAAATGCTAGGGAAACTTCCCATGGGAATGGAGAGTTTGGAGCTTGGCCCAGCGATGTCCTGGGGCTGCAAGCCTAGTATCATCAGGTGGCTGTACACCATGATCGTGAGGCCTATTGTTACTTATGGAGCGGTGGTTTGGGCATCGAAAGCAGCGCAGACTTCGATAGGTCTTCAGCTATCGAAGCTGCAGAGACTTGCCTGCGTCTGCGCCACTGGGGCAATGCGCACCTGCCCCACCGCAGCACTTGAGGTCATGCTAGAGCTCACACCGCTCCATTTAGTTATCAATCAGACTGCGAAGCATACCATGCTGCTTATGACAGCAGAGGGGTATGGTAAAGAAAATAATCTCGTCTCAACAAATGAGTGCCTTAGAAGATAACACGCCACTGGCCCTCCTTCCAAGAGACGGTGTAACGAAGAGAGTAAACTTTACGAAAAAGTTTAAAGTTACTCTCGGCAGTAAGGCGAACTGGAGCGATTCCACACTTGACCAACTGCTGAGAGGTAGCACTATTCAGTGGTACACTGACGGCTCGAAAACACTAGAAGGAATTGGAGCTGGCATTGCGGAACCGCATACCAAGCTTTCCATTCCCATGGGCTGTTTTCCAAGCATTTTTCAGGCAGAAGTATTTGCCATAAGTCAATGCACAGTAATAAATCTCCAACGCAACTACCGGAATAAGAGTATCGCAATACTCAGCGATAGCCAAGCGGCGCTAAAAGCGATATCGGCCTACGTGATTCGATCGCTATTAGTGGAGGAGTGTAAAGGAAGGCTTAAGTGCCTAGCAGCTTGCAACCGTGTACACCTGATCTGGGTTCCGGGGCATAGAGGGGTAGCCGGCAACCATGTATTGCGGTAGGGCCCCATACAATAAAGGAACTGCTTCGCACGGAGGAGAGTTCGAGCAGAGACAGTCACTGGCAACAGACAGCAGGGATGCGTCAAGCTAAACTGCTACTGGGAGGGTTCAACCTAGCCAGGTTCAGAGCAATTATAAACCTCCCCAGAGACAAACTCCGTCTCCTTGTCGCGCTCTACACTGGGCACTGCAGGCTCAAGAAACACCTATCAAACATGGGCATAGCTTCTTGTGGCAACTGCCGATTCTGCGACATGGGACCGGAAACACCAGAACACCTAATCTTAGATTGCACCGCAATTTGTAGACGCAGGCTCAAGGCCCCCGGTTCCATTTTTGTGACCAGGGATCACATTGCCTCAATAGCACCTAGCAAGTATCTGGAGTTTTTCAGGGTGCTGGGACTTTGGGAATGCATGTGATGGAGGAGAGGGCTCTGAAGTTTACTTCTTTGGTATAGCTATCCCTTGGGAGAAGGGCTAGTGGTATTTCCTCACTTAGCTCTTTCATCTGCTGGGAGGAGATTACCTTCCCTTTGCCAGCTCCCTCTGATGTCATTTGGAGCAGAGTTCGTTTTGCAGTCTGTTTGATTACCAAGTGTAGCGGTGGAAGTTCTAGCATGACTCCCAGTGCTGCGGTGGAACACGTTCGCATTGCTCCCGACGCGCAGATGCAGGTAAGTCTTTGCAGCTTCGACAGTTTAAGTCCTACCGAAGTCTGCGATGCTTTAAAACCCCACGATACCGCTCCATACGTGATAATCGGTCTCACGATCATGGTGTACATCCACCTAATTGTCCTTGGGGAGCACCCCCAGGATTTTCCAGCAAGTCGGTTGCACACCATGAGTGCTTTTGTAGCTTTGGTTAGGGTCTGGTCCACGTGCTGATTCCATCGTAAAGTGGAATCCAGCGTGAGGCCCAGATACTTGACCGTGCTGGCCATCTCCACCACTCTACCATCCAGGGATATATTTCTGAGGCCTGGCAGTGACCTCCGTCTGGTGAAGGGAATGATTGTAGTTTTAGCGGGGTTGATGTTTAAGCCAACCCCACTACACCATCCCTTTGCCAGTCCCAGTCCCCTCTGTACGATATCGCAGAGTGTGTCTTCGCTTGGTTGTAAGTTCGAATAGCGAGCAATAAGTGTTAAGTTGTTGGACTTGAAAATAAAGATAAGTGTATAGCATTAAATTGGGACTTTAATTTAACAATCCAGTGATGGAGCTCAAGAGTGTGTTATAGTTAGACGATTTATCGAGAAATCCGCTACAATATGTTGCATGTAGACAAATTAAAATTATAATGGGTACACACATAATTATACATATATATGTATCAGAATATTTGCGACCGCTTGGTCTTTTCTTATGGGGTTATGTCAAGCAAGAGGTGTACAAAATCAAACCCAGAAATCTGACTGAACTGAAGCAGTCCATTAAATAGGTAATTGAGGCAATCCCGAATTTGGTGTCGCATATGCGTGGCTGAGCATAGAGGAATAATTAATTGTATAAAATAAATCAAAATTTTCTATACACTAAACAAAAAAAATGTAATGCATTGATTCAAAAGAAACTTATTAGGGTTTAGTTTTGTAGCATGATTCGTGAGCCACCCTGTACATACAGAATATCTTAAAATTATATGCAAAGTCGTTTGCGTATTGTAAATATACGAATCTATAAACGTACATTTCTTAACATTGGAATTAGCATTATTTTTCTCAATTAACACTGAAAATGCTCAATTCTGCTATTTTTCAGTCTCCTGATGTTATTTGTGGCCAATAATTTTCTGTGGTGAAACACGCTTATCGTTTTCAGTTCCAGTGCAAAAAGTGAAATATTTTGATAATGGCCGCACTGTGAACCTTCTCTATAATCTACATTCTCCGGTAGATTGTTAACAAAATTTCGCTACTCGAACATTGTGGCAACTACGTATTTCGGTAACTAATTGGTTCTAGCAGTTTGTCATCAATTCGGTTTTGTTATGGCATTCTTGTTCGTCGCACTACATTTGTATTCTGAATAAAATTAAAAATTACCGGGGAATAAAAGAAGCTGCTGATTGCAAAAATGGATTATGAATTAGAATTAGTCGATTCCCTGTCAGCATTAGCTTATGAGGGTCCGTGCTTGAAAGTGAATGGTCTAATTAAAGCGCTGGAAGGCGGTCCTTGTGATTCTGATTTCCGTCTGCTTATTGGTTGGTTAACCGAAGAACTGCATGTCTTGCGAAAAACAGATGAACATGTGGCAGAGTTACAGGATCAAAGTGATTTCTCAATGGAACTTTCTGCTATGCTAAAAGAACTTGGATGCCCTTATCAACGTTTTGTTGCTGGCCCGTTAACCGGAAGGTTCGAAACTCGTGAGGCTTGTGCTCAACTACTAGACTACCTCTTAACAGAATTAATGGCAACAAAAATGTCTTATCGTTTGCGACCTTCCAAACAAGCACTTGTTATTCCTAAATCTGAAACCAATACGGCGCGTTCTCTGCAACAGCTGTCTCGAAATGTTGGACTGGGTAAACCACCAGATAATGTTTCCCCAAAAGCACTTTTTGATAAACTCAATTTTAAAGTTGAGGAGCTAATACGGCAAGCCAAACCCGGCGTATTGAGTGAACCATTATTGAATTTAAAACAATCTCTATCTGAAGCACAATGGAAAGAATTGGACGCAATACATTCTGATTTAGATGGGGAATATAATATGCGTAGACAAATGTTATTGACTCGCCTTGAAGTAACTATACAGAGCTTTCAATGGTCTGATAAAATGAGGTCAAAAGAAAATGAAATCGCTAGTCGTTATCAAAAGAAATTGCAAGAACTAGATCCTTTACGCTATGGTAGTAAAGATACAAATATTGTAGCATTTCTTGCTTCACGTGCTGATTTGGCTATTATAGAAAAAACAAGTTCCGTGCAAGTGCGAAAAAACACATGTTGCAAAATACAGAAACATGTAATAGGCAGCGTACCAGATCGGGGTGGTCGAGCGCATGAGCACGCTCCCCCGCCTCCAGAAATGCCGTCTTGGCAACAGCAACGCTCTCAAGGATCTGCTGGTAGTGCAGGAGGAAATTTCCGGGGTGGGAGAGGTGGCGGTCAAGGTGGGAGTGGCCATTGGCAACAATATTCAAACGCTCAACAACAACGTCAATCTACCGACCAAGTAATTTTAGCCTACCTTTACAATATATGATATATCTTCACAGTTATAAAATTTAATCGGTATGAGAATTAATTAATAAATCATATATCTTTTTATGTGACAGTGTCGAAACCAGAATTGGGTAAGCGGTAGCGGACGAGTTCAAGGGAGTGGCTGGTCCCAGCATAATAATAATGGTTATTTTCAAGGTATTGGGGGACGCGGCAATTTTGGCGACAATTCTTTTCGGGGACGCTCAAATTATCATCGGGGAGGCCCTGGAGGTGGTGTTCGTCGTTGAAAATAAACAAATTACTCGACTACAAAGAATATTTTATATAAAATATTAATGTATATGTATTAAGTAAATTATTTATCTTGTGTTGAATGTATGTATTATTTAAAGCAGCTTTTAATATAGCTCTTCCGATTTACTACTATTTTAACTCTATAAGAGAACTATTTGAATTATCAATTGGTGATTAATCTCGCCAAATTTGAAAAGCTAATAGGTGACTATAAGTTTTTAAGATAGTTGCGAAAAATATGTTAATTAGTGAAATAACACTTAATTATGAGCAAGTTTCAATAACTGCGATGATAACAACTGTCATCAAAGCGAAAGATCATGTGATGTATAACGCTCCTCAACTTTCGCACACGCTTAAAATTATGTGTGCACAATAAATTTCTTATATAAAGCATCTTAACCTAACTACTTTTTACAATCAATATTTAAAATTGTTTTTAACAATCAAATTCTTGATTCATTTTTACTCGACTTACACTTGCATGAGTACGAATTGCGTACGTATAAAGGAAAAAACGAAAGCCGTTAAGTTAGCGTACACTTGGTTGTTGTGGGAACAGTGGCATTTTTAAACAAAATTCATATTATGCTTTGAATATTTCAAACTTAAAAACAAAACTTTGAAACTAAAAATTGTGTAGCATCACTACGAAACAATTTACCAGATAAATAATTTATACCAAGATAAATAAGTATAACAAATACAAGTATTACAAAAAATAACTGTTATTAAATAAAAATGTTTCGAAGTAGACATCAAAAAGGTTGTTTTTCTGTGTTTTATAGTTTAGGTAGCAGTCCGTTACAATTTTGGTCTACGCATGTAAGTTCGTCTTCAAAAATTTTAAAATTTTCATAAATACTTTTTCCTCAGATCCAAAACGGTTATGTTAAAAGGGTTGTCGATGAAGATGTAAAATCTATTGTCATGGAGATTATGGGCTCAAATGTATCCACCACATATATATCGGGCCCGCGAGATCCTAAAATGTCCTTTGGTATCAAACTACCCTTTTTAGTCTTGCTTATAAAGAATCTACATAAATATTTTACTTTTGAAGTTAAAGTTAGTAAGAGAGCAATAAAATTATGTGTAAATATTTGCCATACAAAAATATATTTTAGATTTTAGATGATCAACGGTTTATGCGACGTTTTCGGGTTTCGAATTTTCAAAGCAAAACCTCTGTAAAGCCCTTTTGCACGGCTATGCCAATGGGTATGTCTCCGGGTTGGAATCAAATTCATTTTAACTTAGCAGACTTTACACGCCGTGCATATGGCACCAATTACATGGAAACCGTTCGTCTACAAATACATGCCAATGTACGCATAAGACGCATATATTTTACTGATCGCTTATATTCAGAAGAAGATCTGCCGAATGAGTTTCGTTTGGTTTCGAAACCTGCCGAAAAGAAGAAACAACGTGATTACACAATTCCTGCAGCACGCCCTCCATCGCCGGCGAAATCAGCGGCTACAACTGAGCGAGCCGGTTCTCCACCTGGTGAGCCTTCAGTCGCTGAACCTTCAGAGGTACCTACTGAAATGGATATTGAAAAATATTACTAAATGCAAAATTCGGTCAAATTCGCAAACTGACGTCTAAAATGAAGTTGTCAAATGTCTCTTCGAAATCATAATAGCATTAGCATAAATTAATGCTCAAAATTAAAATAAACACAATATTATTTTATATATTTAATATTTGGTTTAATAAAACCAATTTATTCGCTTTATGCATTTTGTCTACATTTATATTTCGGTAGTCACCGTCTCCTAAGCGACTAACCCCAAACAAATTAAACACCAATCCTAAACAATATTAAAACATTATGATCAATATAGTTACTGTCTAACACTATTCTCAATTGACACATCGCTCCCGAATGCATGGTGTAACAGATCCTTTTCCACATTTTTCAACACACTATGGTATTCGGTAATTTCCAAAGCTTCCCACTCAGCTTTAAAAGCTGCTTTGGGATCTTGGGGCATTGTCATTGCTGCACCAGTCATTGCATCTGCTTGTGCTTGTGTTTGATCTGCTTGGTTATTTTCGCCAAGTACTAATGTATAAATAGATCGAAGACCGAAGACATTTAAGAAATACCATGAAGCTGACGATACCCAAGCAGCATCTAGGGAAGCAAGTTCCACACCACGTTGCAACATAGGTTTAAAACGTAAGGTTAGTGGAAAGGGCACTTTCGTGGTTACGAAACCTGAAAACATCCAATTAATCCAGCCACCTATTATCACCATTGGTAGAACATTTATAAAGTTTCCTTTCACCATGTCTGTTAACATAGCAGTTGAATTTTGAGCTACAGGTGCCCGTTTTTGTGTTTTGAAGTAGCCAATTTCTTCGTGATTGAAAAAATTCTTTCGCATAGCAAACGAAAGCGGTGTGAGATATTTGCCATTTTCACGTAAAAGACGAGCTCGAATCATTGCTTGACTGTTGGAAAAAATTAATGAGTTTTACAAAGTGGAATTGTCATTTACACATGACTTACCTATCTTGAATTTGTGTAATTTCAGCTTTCTTTTGAGAGGATATTAGAACAGAGACGTAGTGTCGAATAACACCGACAAAAAACGTAATGAGCACGATGGGAAGGAAAACCCATACTCGTATATTTGGATCAATAAGTAATTCAGTCATATTATTAATCCTTATGCAGAACAAATATGGCTTATTTCAATACTGTTTTTACTGTATTTTAGCTGAATTACACTTTTCTATTGCAATAAATTGTCAATTATACCATCTCTGGTATAAATCTAGGTTTATACAATGAATTATACTGACAATCATGGTATAAAGGAGTAGCGAAAGTCCCATTCACAATAGTTTCGCCACCTTTTTACGATGCTGACAATGCTGTTGACAACCGCTCTAAATTTTCATTCACAACGCCCTGTCTCCACAGCCAATTATTATTCTCAATGAAATGATATTTTGAGATTAGACTTTTATCATTGCTACTTTTTTTCTTGATATTTTACATGCCGAATTCAAATTAAGAATTCACAATTATGTCTAATAATATAAGAACATATTACCCTTAAAAACCTTTCTACATTGGTGCTACAGATTTTTTATATAAATCAAAGAACTAAAATGCAATTTGCCAGCAATTGAAAATTTTGTTAACTCTTACTTCAGGCGTTTTGCTACAGTAGAATATTATTCTGACTTTGGAACTTTAAATTATTTTCACAGATACTGTTAAATAATTAAATTACCAGCGGGTAGAGTTCTCAATGCTTTATTGGGATTTTAACGATTGTGACCGGCTGGCTTGACACCAAACCAGAGACGTTACAATCAGAGAAGAGAGTCGTACACACAAGTCCTCTGACATTTATAGGAGTTCAACGGAATTTAAAATACCGTAACTTTAAGTATGCGTAAACAAACATAATTATAAAGACAAATGAATGATAAAAGAGAGATAACGAATATAAAGCTTAGATAAGACAGTATTGCCAGATTAGAGTTGACATTATCAGAAAATAATCTTAAACTAATGTAAATAATCCTAAACATCCTGCCCGGTCGACTCGAAATCTTCCTTCTCTATCAATAGACATAGTTTCTGGATGGCTCGTTTCATGTATCCTCTAGCGGTTCTCAACGTGACATTGCGGACCACTCCATCCGCTCCGGGATGTAGTGTTGTCACTCGACCCAGGCACCAGTGAGTGGGAGGCAGGTTCTCTTGTTTGACTAGGACGATATCGTCCACCCTTATATTCCTCGTGCGTCGAAACCATTTGTTGCGTCTCTGCAGAATGGTTAGATACTCCTCACTCCATCGCTTCCAAAATCCTTGTTGAATTTGACGTATCCATTGCCATTGTTTCAGCCGGTTGCTAGGAATATGTTTGATATCTGGTTCAGGGACCGCTAGGAGTGGCGACCCAATCAGGAAATCACCTGGGGTTAATTCAAGTTTCTCTTCAGGATCGTCGTAAAGTGGGGTTATAGGACGGGAATTGAGACAGGCCTCTATTCTTACGGCTAGTGTCTATACCACATGACCTGCGTACCCACACATCGTGTCAAATGATGCTTAGCGGACTTCACAGCAGCCTCCCAGAGGCCTCCTTGATGTGGCGCACTGGGTGTGATGAAATGCCAACGTGTGCCCGAATCTGCTAACGATCGCTGATTATTCTCACCCTGCCATGCTGCAAGATCCTCCTTCAAAAGTCGGTTGGCACCAACAAAGGCTGTACCATTGTCACTATATAAATCCCGGCAGGGACCGCGTCGGCTGACGAAACGAGTAAAAGTATCTAGAAAGGCCTGTGCCGATAGGTCATCAACCACCTCAATGTGCACAGCCTTGGTAACCATGCATACGAATATTGCGAGGTACGTCTTGATGTGCGTTCGAGAGCGTTCCGTTCCGATGCGTAGCGTAAAAGGTCCACAGTAATCGACACCAAAGTAAAAGTATCTAGAAAGGCCTGTGCCGATAGGTCATCAACCACGTAAAAGGTCCACAGTAATCGACACCAGATGATATGAACGGCCTTGCTGCTCTGATCCTCTGCCCGGGTAAGGAAGCCATTTGTTGCTTCAGGACTTCCCCTCTATGACGGCGGCATACTGCGCAGTTATGGATGAAACTCTTGACTGCTTGCCTGGCACTCAGAATCCAGAAGCGTTGACGAAGAGTGTTCAGCATGAGTTGCGTGCCTCCATGCAGTGTAATCTCATGCGCCTGATTTAGTAAAAGCTTGACCAACGGCGTTGACTTTGGCAAAAGAATCGGGAATCGCTGATCATGCCCTAGTTCGGCCTGGTGGATGCGTCCCCCCACACGGAGAATTTGGTTCTTGTCTTAAAATGGGTTTAAAGGTATTATCCGACTGGAAGATGACAAACCTGAACTAGACGTAAATTGTCGAATTTCATTTGCAAAATGTTCCTCTTGCTCTAAACGGATTATAGTGTATAATGCTTCTCCTGAGCAACGATCACCGGTTGACGAAAGTGTCGACGCCTTCCTAACCAGCGCAGTATAATGGCCAATGTACCCAACAATCGAGTGATACTACTGAACCGTTCAGTTAACAAAATAGCGTGTCCGTTTGGACGACGAGTATACATCGGAATGAGTACAATAAATTTGGTTGTATTTCGGTTTTCGGCGAGAAAGACATTTGACTCATCCTTGCTGAGAGGAACATCACTACTGTCCCCATACATCATCTCTGCCTCCTTAGGTCCATGCCACCAAAGGGGATGTACTAATAGCTCGGCGGGTGTGATACCTCTACTGGCACAATCAGCTGGGTTATGAGCCGAACGAATGTGATGCCATCGGGCGGGGGATGTCAGCTCCTGTATTCTACGAACCCGATTTGATATAAATGGTTTAAGTGTTGCTGGATCCTTCCTGAGCCAACGCAATACGATTGCTGAGTCCGACCACAGATAGTAGGGAACGTCAACTAATCCCAAAGAATCTCGCACGTTCTGGAATGTCTCGGCAAGAAGCAGCGCTGCCGCAAGTTCCAGGCGTGGAATGGTAGCGATTTTAAATGGTGCCACCTTGGTACGTGCCGTTAGAAGTGTGAAACGCATCGAACCGTTTGTGTTCGACGTCTTCGCGTAAATAACTGCTGCATAAGCATGTGAGCTGGCATCGCAAAACCCATGAAATGATATCTGAACGCGTGAAATCATTCCCATCCACTGTTCGATACGAATTTGATTGAGCTCCGGAAGCTGTGACCGATACTTCAGCCATTCGCGGCAAAGATCATCAGGTAATGGTGAGTCCCAGGATAGACCCGCAGACCATAGTCGCTGAATGAATATTTTTCCTGTTACGATAACAGGCGATAAGAATCCAGTAGGATCGAAGAGTCGTGCCACCTCGCTGAGTACACGGCGCTTCGTTGGAATTTCTACTCTTTGACATAAATCGACGCGAAAGAATAACTGATCCTCCAGTGCGTCCCATCTTAAGCCCAAAACGGAAGCCTCACCAGCATGGAAGACATAATTAGAAAGTGACGGCTCATTAGATAAACGAATCATTACCTGACTATCGTTCGAGCTCCATTTTCTTAGAGTGAACTGTCCCGCAGATAAGACGGCGTCCACGTTCTTAGCCAGCTTCACTGCTTCGGTAACGCTTTCACAACTCGTTAAGAAGTCGTCAACATAAAACGAGGTTAATATCGCAGCTCGAGCCAGCGTCCCTTGTTGTCTTTCGGGAACCACAGCTGAATTATCATAAGCACATTGTTGTAGGGCTCGCACTGCATTGTAAGGACTGCATGCCATGCCATATGTGATGGTCTTCAGGCGATACACCTGGATCTCGTCTGCAGGAGTCTCTCGCCATATAATTCGTTGATAGTCGCGATGTTCAGATGCAACCAATACTTGCCTGAACATCTTCTCTATGTCCGCAGTTATCGCCACTCGATAGCGCCGAAAACGTAAAAGTATACTACTCAGCGAATCCTGTAGGGTCGGACCTACCAGTTGAACATCGTTCAGTGAGATTCCAGTGCTGGTAGGTGCCGAAGCGTTGAACACCACGCGGAACTTCGTTGTGACCGCATGATGAGGAATGTAGTAGCAATTGGTATGATCATAAGGTGGTTGTACTAGTTCCATGTGTCCGAGTGCTGCATACTCCCTCATAAATGAAATGTAGTTTTCCCTAAGGACTGGATCCGCAACCATGCGACGCTCCAGTCTATGAAATTGCCGTAATGCCAGTGCGTAAGAGTCACCTAGTTCCGTTGCCTTTCGTCGCAAAGGTAAGTGTACGATATAACGGCCGTCTAAGGTACGGCTATGAGTGGTCTCGAAGATCTGCGCACATTCATTCTCTGGCAGATCGTCAACCACTGCTATTTCCTCCATTTGCCAAAATTTGGACACCAGTTCCTCCAACCGGTGGTCCTCCCTGTCTAGCGAAGTGGTTAGGGTGAGCAATGATTCCTTTGCAGGAAGGGTCACTGCTGTTGGGCCAAACACCACCCATCCAAAGCGGGTACGCTGGGCAAAAGGTTCGTCTGGTCCTCCACCGATGACTTTACCTTCAATGAGTCGCCCCCACACGTCCGCGCCGATCAGAACGTCGATAGTTCCAGGCGTACCGAAACGGTTGTCCGCCAAATCTATGTCTCCCAAATATGGCCATTGGTTTATGTCAATCTTCACTGCTGGAGTTGGAGAAGTAATGGACGATAAAACCAAAGCATCAATTCGCATTTCAAAGTTAGTTGTTGTTGATCTCAGAGTGAACGTAACGCTGCCTTTCGCTCGAGTATTGATGGTAGCACCTACGCCTTCTACGCTCACATCACATTTCCGTCGATATAGCTGCAAACAATTCGCTAGACGATCCGTCACAAAGCTAACCTGTGATCCGGGATCGCATAGAACTCGTGCCACTCGCTGCACCGATGCTTCTCCAACGGCATATACACGCGCTGTTGCTAAAAGGGTTATCGGCTTTGGATTGGCAGCGAGGGGTCTCGCAGGTGCGGCTAGTCATGCCGTTGTGGTTGTCGGCACCTCCGCAGGTACCTCATTGCCTGCGGCTGCCGTAGTCGTAGAAGCAAACGTTGACGTGTTGATGGACTTGTTTCGGCATAGGATCGTGTTATGCTTACGTCCACAATTTCGACAGCTACTAGATGGACACTGTCGATAAGAATGACCTGTACGTAAACAGTTGTAACACATCTGCATTTTCTTAAGGGCTTCAAATCGCTGCTCGATACTAAGAGCCAATAATGTAGGACACCTGGCGATTCGATGCGCTAACCCGCAATGAGCACACAGAGCTGCCTCCGTGGTAGCCACATGGGCACTCACTGGTCGTTGCTGACGGGAAACCATTAATGAGACCGGTGGTTCAGTAACAAGGCTATGAGCACGTCTCTCTAGAAATTTCAATAGGTCTTCTAACTATGGAATTTCTGTAGTGGAGCACCTCATATACCAATCTCTCTTAGTTACCGATGGAAGCTTTGCCACCACTATTGGTACAGCTAACGCATCCCACTGAGATATGGGGGTATCCATCACACGCAATGCACGCAGCGACTCATGAACCGTGTCCACAATAGCAAATAACGATTGTGATGACTCATGGGTAGCTGTTTTAAGGTTAAGAAAACGCGATACGTGTATTTCCGCTAGCTGCTTTTTATTGTCATAGCGGTCCTTTAGAGCTTTCCACACCTCTTGATAGCCACCCGAGTATATTCCCCCAATTAACGGAACAGTAGCCGCATTGACTGCCTGACGAAGTTTTCCCAATTTGAACGCTTCTGGGTATGCCGAATTATGTACCAGTGTTTCAAAGGCATCTTCGAACGCTAATCATTTACACATGTCTACATCAAATAACGGGATAGCTAACGGGTCCAATTTGAGATCCACCAAATGGCCATCCAGAGATGTTGTGGGACAATTGTGCGCTCCGTCAGCGACATTAGATTCAACCCTTGACGATGCGATGAGACGATTCAGTCTACTGCATGCCGCAGTATACAGCTCCTCTACTGATTCCAAAAGTGCATCATGTGACCCAATATCGAAGGACGTAGCTCCTCCTACCAGACGATTATGGTTCTCCATGAAGCGCTCAAAGTGTGATTCAAGCGACTTGAGCTCTTGTTGAAAATGAAACACATCACGACCTTCCGAGACACGTGCATGTATGCGCTTTATTGCTTTCACCGCCGATGAACGCCAATTGAGCTCCGCCATGAAACCAGACCACCGCAATTACAAAATGAAATTAAAATATTTGTCCTCACAGGAGGCACTAAAATGTTAAATAATTAAATTACCAGCGGGTAGAGTTCTCAATGCTTTATTGGGATTTTAACGATTGTGACCGGTTGGGGCTTGACACCAAACCAGAGACGAATACAATCAGCACCAAGTGACAATCAGAGAAGAGAGTCGTACACACAAGTCCTCTGACATTTATAGGAGTTCAACGGAATTTAAAATACCGTAACTTTAAGTATGCGTAAACAAACATAATTATAAAGACAAATGAATGATAAAAGAGAGATGACGAATATAAAGATTAGATTAGATTAGATAGTGATTGAGGTATGCACCGCGACCTATGGTCTATTGTGCCCTCCCCTAAGTCACAGCGACTCATCTAGCCCTAGCGTATTGATGAATTCCAATATACTGCTAGGCGCCAATGAGGCGATGCGATCCCTGTTTGGAAACATGGATCCCAGGGCCTTGACTCTACGTCTGCAGACAGCTGTGCAGTCCATTAGTAGGTGTTCTGGGGTTTCCGACTCCATGTGGCAGAACCGGCAGTTTGCGGAGGAGACCAAGCCCATGTTAAATAAATGCTTGTTAAGCCTGCAATGTCCGGTGTAGAACGCGACCAGAAGTCGAAATTTGTTCCTCGGGAGATTGATTAAGGTTTTAAACCGTCTGAGGTTATAGCCCCCCATTAGCAACTTGGCATGCCGCATGCCATGAAGATGTTGCCAATGTCTCTCCCTGCCTGCTCTTTCCTCTCTACGGAGCAACTCCTTAATGGTATGTGGACCCACCGCTATGAACGGTTCTGGTCCTACCATGTTTGTAGAGGCTGCAGAGCGGGCCAACTCGTCAGCAAGTTCATTTCCTGCTATACCCCTGTGACCAGGCACCCAGATGAGGTGCACTCTGTTGAAACTTGATAGACTGTTCAGCCGTTCTATACACTCCTGTACTAGCAGCGATTTGACCTCAAAAGCCGAGATCGCTTTAAGTGCCGCCTGACTATCGCTGAGTATGGCGATGCTCTTATTGCGGTAGTCGCGTTGGAGGTTTATTTCTACACACCGACTTATAGCATATACCTCCGCCTGGAATATGCTAGGAAAACTTCCCATGGGAATGGAGAGCTTGGTGCGTGGTCCTGCGACCCCTGCGCCAATCCCCTCCGCCGTTTTCGAGCCGTCGGTGTACCACTTGATAGTACTGTTCTTTAGTAGTAGGTCCAGCGTGGAATCGTTCCATTCTGCCTTGCTACCAAGGGTGACCCTGAACTTCCTAGTGAAGCTTACTGTTTTGGTGATGCTGTCCCTTGGAAGAAGGGCCAGTGGCATTGCGTCACTTAAGGCCCTCATCTGCTGGGACGAGATTACCTTCCCTTTGCCAGACCCTTCTGCTGAGATTTGAAGCAAGGTCTGTTTGGCCGTCTGCTCGATCACTATATGTAGCGGTGTTAGCTCCAGCATTACTTCCAGTGCTGCAGTCGGACACGTACGCATCGCGCCCGACGCGCAGATACAGGCAAGTCGTTGCAGCCTCGATAGTCGAAGTCCTACCGAGGTCTGCGCTGCTTTGGAACCCCAGGCCACCGCTCCATATGTTATGATCGGTCTAACAATCATGGTATACAGCCATCTGATAATCTTTGGGTTGCAGCCCCATGATTTCCCAGCAAGTCGATTGCATACCATGAGCGCTTTCGTAGCTTTGGCTGCGGTTAGGTCCACATGCTGGTTCCACCGTAGAGTGGAGTCCAGCGTGAGGCCCAGGTACTTTACCGTGCTGGCCATCTCCAGCTCCGTTCCACCTAGGGATAGGTTTCTGAGGCCTGGCAGCACCCTACGTCTGGTAAACGGTATGATTGTAGTTTTGGAGGGGTTGATGTTTAGGCCAACCCCACTACACCATTCCTTTGCCAGCCTTAATCCCCTTTGTACAATATCGCAGAGGGTGTCTGCGAATTTACCCCTAGCTAATATAATAATGTCATCCGCATATCCCTGACAGCGGATTCCGTTGCTCGTTAGCAGCTCGAGAAGATCGTCTACAACTAGGCTCCAAAGTAGGGGGGATAGCACTCCACCCTGTGGGCAGCCTCTTGTTGTGCCAAGGCGAATCTTCGTGTCGCCTACTGTGGTTTCGGCAATCCTGGTGCTCAGTACCGCTTCAATCCATCTGCGCACCGGCATCGCCACACCTCTTTTCTCCAGGGCCTTTGACACGCTCTCGTGTGACGTATTGTCAAAGGCACCTTCGATGTCAAGGAAGGCGCATAACAGCACCTCACCCCCGTCAAACGAACTTCGGATCTCTGATGTCAGCTGATACAGAGCAGTATTGGTTGATCTGCCTGCTCTGTAAGCATGCTGCGTCGCGTGTAGCGGTGCAGCTTTTAGCACCTTCGATCTAATTTCGTGGTCTATGATCTTTTCCATGCTTTTCAGTAGGAAGGAAGTTAGACTTATTGGTCTGAAGGATTTTGCCAACGAGTAGTCTTTCCTTCCTACTTTGGGTATGAAGATCACCTTTGCAGTGCGCCAGGGTTCCGGGATATACGCCAGCGCCAGGCTATCCCTCATCAGCCGAACAAGGTGGGGCAGGAGGACCTGCCCCCCCTGTTGCATGAAGGCTGGAAGGATGCCATCCGCACCCGGAGACTTATATTTTTCGAAAGAGGCCACAGCCCACCTAATGGAGTCCGCCGTGAAGAGCTGTTTTGCGGCTGTCCAATCTAGGCGAGTTGGCTTTCGTTCGACTCTTGGTCGAATTAGGTCCTCTCGAATTGTTTCTGGGAAGTGCGCACGTAGAAGGGTCGTGGCTCTTTCTTCCGCGCTGGACGTATAGGTCCCATCCGGTCTTTTAATTGCTAGAACTGTGCCGGTCTTGCCCCTAGCCAGAGCCTTGTGCAGCCTTGCAGCCTCTGGCGTTGAGGAGACAGTTTCACAGAAATTTCTGAAGCTCTTCTGCTTTGCTGACCTGATCTCCTTGTTGTAAGCAGTTAGGCCGCACCTATAGTTCTCCCAGTCCCCGGTACGCTTAGCCCTGTTAAATAGCTTGCGTACCGTTTTTCTTAGATCTGAGAGGCTTCTTGACCACCAGGGACAGCTGCGGTTCTTGGTGGTCGTCTTTAGGGGGCAGCTACTGTTGTATGCTTCTATAATGGACTGATTTAGCGCAGACAACCTGCTCTCCAGTCCAGAAGCAGTGGCACTGCCGTCAAGCTGCCCCCTCCTATTGAGGTTTATTTCAAGCGTATCCTTAAAGGTGGCCCAGTCCGTGTTTTTGGGGATACGCCTGGGAGGGGGTTGCCTAACCTCTATCCCTAGTGCGAACCTTATGATGCGGTGATCCGACATGGAGGGTTCCGATGACACTCTCCACTGCCCGATCAGCCCTGTCATGAGCTCGTTACCAAGGGTGATGTCAAGCACCTCCCTTCTTACGCTGGTTATAAAGGTGGGTTCACATCCCATGACAAGGGGCAGGTTGTTCCTCCTGCAGTAATCCACGAGGCTCCCGACGGCCTCTGGGGGTGCTGTCATCGTGTCTCCCGGAAAGTAGGCCGCTGCCAGGACGAAGTCCGCTCCTTCGTTACCTTTTGCCTGCACAGCGACCAGGTCTTGTGTTAGGAACTCTGAAATACAGAAGTAATCAATATCGTTCCTAATTACTATACAAGTTCTGGGTCTCTCGCATGAGAGATCCCAGATTACCTTGCTGTTCACCAGTTTGAGGCCCCTGACCTCTCCTTTGTAGATCCATGGCTCCTGGATCAGTAGAATGCCCAGACCGTCCGCTGTGAACCTGCTCGCGATGACGGCCGAGGCCGACGCCGCGTGATGCAGGTTCACCTGGGCAATTTCAATATGTGGACCCATTAGAGGATCGGTTCCGTGAGGAGCTCCTCATCTTCACTGTCCTCCGCGTTTCCACCCGCTAGGTCCCTGAGTCCCTCGAGAAGCTCTTGCGTGGAGGGTAGCGCCCCCCCTTGTTCGCCAGCCTTCTCCGTAGGGACCTTCACCGTGGTTTCGGCAGTTGCCGCCTGCTCCGCCGTGCTGATGCCGGGATGAGTCGCACCCTCATCAACCTGCATTTTTTCCGCCGCTTCATTTTTGGTGACCGTCTTGGGCTTAAATGGCCTCAGGACCACCGAACTGAATCTGTAATTCAGTCGGAAGCTCGCTCTCCTGACGAATTTATACGACTCGTCGTCGATGCAGAGATTGAGCTTCCACCCTGAATCCTCGACCGTGCTGGTAACTACTTTCCAGGCCGATATGCTTAGGCCCTCGTTCTGGTTCTGTATGAGCCCGAGAGCAAACTCATATGGCTTACCTGCGCACCTGGGGAGAAACACTGTCATGCTGTGCATGGGTGGTATGTCTTCCCCCTTTTTTGCGCAAAGGACGGGGCCCTTCCAGCCTTCCAGCCTGGGAGCGATCTCCCTTAGCCAGTCGGCAGACCTCTCGTCCTTGCAGTCCACCTGCAACATGCCTCCTTTGAAATATACTCCATGGAATGAGGCTTTATATCCGGATCCTCTGTATATTTCCTCCATGAGCAGATCTTGGAGCACAGTGAGCTCCTCCGACCCCAGTGTCTCCGCCGGGTAGTTTAGAGGCAGCACAGCCATGCGAATGCCTTTGAGAGCATCCGCATATCTGCGCTGTCCCTCCACCACTCGGGGGGGGTTTGGGGCGGAGTTGTTGCCTCCGGTCCCCTCTGCGTTGCTTCCTTTCTGTCGCTTGGTGTTTGGCGGCTCCTGTGGCGTTAGTTGCCCACTCTTGCGCTTTGCGGCTTGGGTGGTCGAAGGCGCTGCTCTTTCGCAACCACGCCTTGCGGCCTGAGTTGCGTTAACCGGGCGTTGGCTTCGATTACCGCTGCTCTTTTTACTGCTCGTCGCGGTATTGCCACCCTTCCGCTTCTCCGAGACAGGGGAGGCATTGTTTCCTCTCACCCTGTTGCGCGCCAACTTTTCGGCTTCCTCCGGAGTCTTCCCCTCCTGGAGGTGCCTGAGGTACCATTTAAGGCTGGCACCGCTCATGCCTTTTCTCCTTGGATCGTCCTGTCCGCCAGGACTCCCATTTGGTGGTAGAGGGGGTAGTCTGCCTCCCCTCTTCCGCTTTCGTTTGCGAACCTCCCCGGTTGATGCCCGTTCCGTGTCGCCCGAATCCGAGCAGGTGATCCTGCTCGGGGGAGCCTCCTTGGGGTTCGCTTTTTCAGCGCCGGCCGCAGTCGATGTCACCTGCTGAGCGCCGCTGCACGAGGGCATGTCGTCATCGTCCTCCCTTGCATGCTCCTCGAACAGCGCCCGCTCTTCTGGCGAAAGGGCGTCCAGGAAGCTAAACTTTTGTTTAGCCCCTGAAGCTCCCTTACCTGCACTGGCGCTGGTCTTTTTAGTCTTGTCCTTGTCCGTTTGCTGTTGTTGTTGCCCGTTTGTTTCCGTTGTTAAGTTTTTTGTTGTTTGTTTTGTTGTCTCCATTCTGTTTCTTACGACCTTAGGCTCGACATGGCGAGCCGTCCGGTCTACGTTTTGTAAGGGGAACGCGAAAGTCCACCGCGCCAGAGCCCCATGACGCGGTAAGGCCACCGTTACTTCCCAATGCGGCCCGGTGTTGGGAAGGCTCCGTTAGAATACAGCCGAATTTACCTCCTGGCTGCAAATCATCCAATGGGCACGGGAGTCGCATAACACCCTGGATTAGGAGGTGGCAGCTCTTGGTTGTCGCACGCATGCGGCTTCTGACAACCCGTGTGAGAGGTGCTGGGCAGCACTTCTCGCATTGGTTGGGAGATGCCGAGAATGCCTTGCGACTTAAGCCCCTGCACCACGGCAAGGTGCCTGCCATTCGCAGGAGAATATAAAGCTTAGATAAGACAGTATTGCCAGATTAGAGTTGGCATTATCAGAAAATTATCTTAAACTAATGTAAATAATCCTAAACAGATACTTTTAAATACGAAAATTGTCTTTTGTCTCAAAAAATTGGAGAGTATAAGCTTTAAAAAGGAAACTTCTGAATTACTGGTGTAGTTACAAAAAGCTGGAGGCATTGCCAGTCTCTATGGAAATGGAGGTAAATTGGGTATAAAAAAAAAATACAAATTAAATTAATTGTATTGTATTAATTCATATAGAAGCTTTATTTATAGCCATCTTTTTTATTTTATGTGTTTATTCATATGAACTACCAATATTTCAATTCTTTTTCGACTTGGACTAAATCAATTGTGTGCCTGGTTACTTTATATAATATCGTATCAAAAATAACTATAATATCTATTGTGAACTTTTACGTTTTGGCGTTTTTGACATTTCTCATTGGTTTTTGCATCAAAACTAATAAAAATAATCTGAAAACCATATTCAATTCTAATAAACAGCAATATTTGATCGCAAGTAACAACTTAGTTAATAATATTAAATTTACGCGATTGTAGTTATGGAAAAAAATGAGAGATCAACAACCCCGCAACCTGCTGCAGATCTTCAGACTCCAGGTGATGTTTCCTCCACTGCAACCAATCAACAGTCAGCAGCGCAACCTCAATGTAAAAGGCCACGTCCCGATCTGAGTTCACTACCCACTCGCCAGTATTTAGATCAAACAGTAGCGCCGATATTATTACACGGATTACAGACGTTAGCGCGAGAACGACCAGCAGATCCTATCAGTTTTTTAGCGGCATATCTGCTGAAAAACAAAAACCGTTGCGAAGAATCGATACCAGAAAACATTTAAGTAATGTAAATGAAAGATATCACAACTAAATGTCTCCAATGAATTAAGGTGACACTCACCTTAATAAGTAAAAATTCGTAGTTTGATATGAATTTCAATTTTTGTAACTATGTATGTGCTGGATTACCTCAATAACTTTGAAGCGCCAACAATTTAAATCTGACAATTGTATTTCTCTTGTATTTTATAAAATAACTGGCTTTCCCTAATAAAAATATTTTGTTTAAATGTAAATTAAAAAAAACATATTTTGTATCTCAGTCATCTAATTCCGTTTCACTGACTCCAAACATACCGGCCAATAGGCATCCGTAATTTAGAGCGTTTGTAGTTGTTATTTCACTTGGAGGAGTTATGGGTCCTTCGTCTCCTTGATATATGTATGGAAGACGTAGAATCCAATAGGCGCTTTGAGTTAGCTTTGGCGGATTTGGCAAACCCATACTGAATATGTATTCTCGTTCACCAGTTCGCAACTTATAATGTAAAAATGGTACTAATTAAAATCACAATTCAATTAGTTTAAATATACCTTTGGGTCTAGAATAACATTCACAGGTGCCTTTGGTGTAACCACGTGAACACGCATCAATTGTGCCACATCTGCTTTATGTGATCGACAAGGACAAGGAAAATATAAGGGCATATTATTATAGACCACTTTACTTCCACTGTCGCGTAATATGCCTACCATAAAGAGAACATAAGATAGAAATTTTATAAATGATCGGTTTTTACTTACCTGAACCTCCACGTAAAATCTTGTCCGCCGAACTCATCATAAATCTATGTCCACGGGGGCACTCATACTCACATCCAACAAATATCTTCAAAATGTGTACTTCGCCCATTTTTCGAATACGGGTTTTTTCATATGCCCAAGATGCTGAATGCTCCAGGCGCACATGCACATCCCACGGAAGCAAAAAATTGGCGCCCGAAAGAAATCCACTTTGAAAGTGCTCCAACAATCCTGTGTTGTGACTATAAACGGAACTAGGACCTACACAAACTAGCGACCAGCTAGGAAAACGCGGAAGTAAACCTGGGGGAGATTCAGTATGAACCATGCCTGGTAAATATTCTGTGGTGGATGGTTGCCGGTAAATACTACGTTCCTTGTCCTCAGCTTTTTGTGTACTTTTATCTTTTATTTGTATTATCAATTCATTTAGCGACTCATCTGAGCTTGGTATATCAGCATCAACACCGATTTTATTCAGTTCATCAGTGGAAACTAAGCTGAGATTGGTATGTGTGCCCTGTGATGCAGTAAGCGGCTGGGAACACTCATCTGAGGCCACGGATTTAGGAGAGCGTAAATCATGATGCTGAACTAAATCGATTGAGTCCTGTATCGATAGTTTGGGGAAGGCGATTTCGAATTCTGCAGCCCTGTATCAATTAATTTAATAAAAATTAGCAATCATTAACTCAAATTTGTTTGCAAATCTATGCACTACTTTAATGTTACTAACCTATAATCATTAATAGAAGGTTCAAACACAGGAAAATGCACTTTTTTCACTTTAGCACATAAATTACAATTATTTGCCATATATTGATAAAATTCATAATTAGCATGCCTTATGGTATAGGGATCTTCACGTCTGCCTTGCGTTCTACCGCAATTACAGGTTGATATGAATACATGTGCACTACTGTGCTCTGAAAGTTCCTTAACAATGTGTTTGGGTAGTATGCAGAGATTTCCGCGTAAACTGAGAACTTCACATTGTTGTTTACCATTTCGCCAATATCGTTCGCACATTTCCCGAAGTTTATTTTCGTTTACAGCGGTTTGAGTACCTCGCGCATACTTCATATATAATGTGACTGCTTCATCAACCTTGACAAATTACAATTTCAACTATAATAAATACAATGATAAACATTTGGTGAAAATATTGATAATTTACCAATTTTTTATGTACTGTATTGCTATAGTGTGTCAATGCGGGGTTGTTGTACATAGCAAACGCTTTCTGTAAGCCCATATCACAACAAGCATTAAAGAATCTGAAAAGTTTTAAAATATTGCATTAATTTAATTCATAGTCGATTTAATTTTAAATTATTGATACTTACTCATCATCTATGTCCATTATTTTATTGAAATTTTCCAAATATGATTTCTGAAATAAAATATAAATAGCCATTATCAATTTTGTTCCACTGAATATGTTGAAAACCTTTTAGTTACATAATCTAAATCGTTAGCCTCGAATTTCGGATTATCCGGATTTTCGATGAAAATTTTATGCAGCATTTTGAAAGTGTCGTACCACTCTTTAGTTGAGAGTATCTATAAAAAAACAATGAAAACAAAATAATTTTCCTTTTAAGAAAATATAATGCATTTTTACGTACCACAAAATGATTCTTGCCTTTAAATTTAGTGGAGCTATCATCAAACCCCATTTCAAGTGCCTCATCGACATGATCCATCAGCAAATCCATAAAGTTACGTTTTTTTCGAAGGATTTCATTAGCCGATGAATGCTTATGTTCTGCATTACATTGTATTAATGGTTTTCCAAATCCCTATCAGTAAAATATGTATAGCAATGAAGAATATCAACATTCGAAAATTTTTATACTTTGAATGGTCTTAAATTTTCAAGATCATCTTCGTCATCTTCTTTGAAATTAGATTTTTGTAAGAAGGTTTGTAAAAGCGATATTGACTTTATCAAGGGATCTCTGCGCATCAATGAATCGGTGTTATAATATACAAACCGCTTATTGCTCGGAATAGAAAAAAGTGACATCGCGCTGCAGGTTAAAAACTTTTTGACAAAAGTTGTAATTATATTGTGTGAAAAAAAAACCTGTTGTTGGTAATGATAAATTCATTACGCAGCATCTTGTAAATACTATCCTCCACTTCAAATTCCAATTTAGATATGCATTCAGTTGTTTTTTCTACAAAATAACATGAAATTACTTTTCACGTTGTTCTCCATTATTTTCTTAAATTACCATAACCATCCGGGTAGTTTTCAAAGATAAATAGTATACGTGGTGTACATAGACGGGCGGATTTGCCTAAAAATGTACCTGTGCTCGAGTTTTTAACGAGTTTCGGTAAGAATTTTAATACGTATTTGTCTCTATTTTTAAATAATTAAATTTAGTCAGAAAATATTTCAAATGTTGTTTATTTCATACCTTATAATTTTTAAAGCTCTGAAAATCGACAACAATGACGCATCGAAAGTGACACTTAACTCAACAAAGACTATTAAGTGACAAACCTGTGTTGCAAAAAGCAGCATCCGTGCAAAACGATTACGCACGCGTTGATTAAATAATAAAAAATGTCCATACGTATTACGAGTTAAATCATTCTCAAGCATTTCCTGCATACATGCTGTGTCAAATGTTGTTTCAAAGTGTAAAAAGAGCATTGACTTCTTACAATTATAATAGAAGTGAATGGTGCCCTTAATACAACAAATTGATTAATACGTTAAATAGATTTAGATGATTGTGGTTGCAGTTTACCTCTTGCGGTTCATGTTCCAACATACTAGGATCACTGTCCAATACGCCTAGCGATACCATTTTATTGCAATCCGAAAATGCGGACTTTCCTATTACACCAACCACAACCAATTTTTCATCGTTTGGGAAAAGGTCTTCGCTAGAAATATTTTTTATATTTTATGATAACAATGATGACTTATAAAAGCATTTACTTACACCGAGCCCGTAGGAATACCAGGAAATTTCCAATTTTGGTATTCAGGCATTTCCACTTTATCCTTGATTTCCACTATGTTACAATTAACTATTAAATTAATTTACGTTTAAGAGTCACGAAAGTGCCAATTCACAGTTCTTTCGCCCCCTCTGAGGCGTACGTTCCATTGTATAAATTTACAAGTAACCAACTTAAGATTTTCATTAATACACACGCAAAAATATCCCACTTGGTACGGCTTGCCTCGAAAATTCTACTACTAGAATCACACTTGGTACGGTTACCTACTTATACTCTACTACTAACGTCACTCTTGGTACGGGTTGTCAACCAATATTCTGCTACTAAAATGTCCAAATGACACAAATCTGCTATAGTGTGTTGCCGTGTAATGTTTTAAAATGTATAACTTTAAGAATGTTTTTATTACATATTCAAATATTTTTCGGTTGTTTTAATTCCTAAAGATTAAATATTTATTGAAATTAAATGTTCCCAATTTTATCAAATATATTATTGTGTAACGGTGATTTAGAATATTTTGTAGCTTATACAATGGTATGTTCACAATAAAGCCAACATGGCCGCCTCTGGGGAGTTAGGGTGACGCGGGGTTAAAACAAGTTGCGCATAACAAAAAAACGCCGTAAAAATTATCTATAAACATTTTAATTTTTGGTTATAGAATGATGTGTGTTGCTGTTAACAAAATATGATATTATACCATGTTGAGATAGGTAAATATGCGGCATATTTTTAAGCTTTTTAATTAATGGACAAACTGAAAATGTTATTTAACTATGAGTGGATGGGAAGAAATATTTATTGTAAGAGAATTCGATATAATAAGTCATAATAATTCATATAATCAATAAAGCAAAACGTATCATTTGAACAATAAAACAAAATTAATCATTTTAGATACATCAAGAAATAGTTTCCGAGCCGATGTTTTCTCCAATTTAGGTATAGATTTATTTAATCACAAATTTTATTTACGTTTTATATATCAGCATTTAGCGATGACAACATATGTCTGTACATAAAATATTAGCATATTATTATATAGTTCTAAGTTTAGTTTTTAAATATATAGACTTCTAAAATAAATTATTTATTGAAGTTGCAATCGTTTCTTTATAGCATAAAATACGGTAGGCAAACCGTACATGTACATATGTACAATATTTTATTATAACTCTTTACATAAGCAATTAAAATATTATTATATAGTTCTAAGTTTAGTTTTTGAATATATAGACGTCTTTAATAAACAATTTGTTGAAGCTCCAATATCTTAAGAGTATAAAATACGGTAGATATCTCCTTTCCTAAAAAGTAGTTTAAAACTACCTTCCGCAACACTGTTACGTAATGCTCAGCATGGACGGACTTATTTTTACAAAGGTGAGTTGTTTTTGAGTATTGTTTTTAATATAATTATTATTTTTGCATAAATTTATAAAACTTGTCCAAAAAGTTCGTTGAATAAGAATTGCATCTTTCATTTTTCTGTGGTGAATGTTTATTAATTTACC